ATACAACATAAAGGAAAACTAATTCTTACCATCTATTACATACTTTAAGCATTTTTGAGAAATATGCTAATATCATCATGATTAAAGCAAAGCAGTAGAAATAGAAAATAGGTCCAAGATTCCTTATTAAATTGGTAGAGGTGTATCCCATCATTTCAAAATAAGAATTGTAAACTGAATCATCCAATGTATCAGGATCATAATCAAAAATGAATGAATTAATTTACTCCATGTCAAAAAACTAGAAGCTAGAAACATCTAGAATAAAGCTGTAAAATAATGCGAGATTGGCTGGAGTGTTGATTTTCATTAAGGGCAAATGAGTTATTAATTGAAAACTATTTATCATACCCCAAAGCATTTATATACTCTAAGACCTATAGCAAGTTAAAAGATAATGTTTTTACATCAAAATATTAATGATGAAATTAGAACCCATGATACTGGATACTGTTAAAGCAGTTCCCGCTCCTAGGCTATTTAGTAAATCCCTTAAACCTGGGCTGATCTAAGGAGGTATCTATTTCTTTATTTAATATCCTTTTTTCATCATAATGTTATTATATGTGTCATAGAATAAAAAAGGCATCTTAAAATCTACAATCAATTAATCCCAATCCTAAAATTTTAATTTTTAAGTTAAATTTACTGAGTACTTTGATATGTTTTAAGGTTCTGAAAATTATGCTTAGATTATCAGCTGTCTTTTAGAAATCTAGGAAATTTTAAAATCTTGCTCAAGAACTTAGCCACCTTATTCTAGTTGTATAATAATTGCTTATCGGAGAACGCCTTTATATTTTTAAACTTCACTATTGAGATCTTAATCAAACTGCACAATTACTTAACCAGTGTTAGTAATCTTTGATATTTTAGGTTAAAAATAGTCAATTGTTTTAAAATCTTTGGTTTTATTTTATATTTATATTAATTCCTTGTCTTTAATCAAAGTCTCATAAAGAGAGCTTACATTAGGTTTAACAATAATATAGAAGTAGTATTTACTTGACAAACTATTCTTATTGTCATCTTGTATAGATAATGTTACTTCATGTGTTCCTAACACAACTTAAATTGGATTAATGATGATTTACTTATTAGTTGCATCTAAAAACAGCTTACTCTATTTAGATTTTATTATTACTTAATAATTGTCATTTTCATCATCAATTATATTAGGAAGTTCAAAAATTTCTTTATTCCCAACAGTAATTTCAATTTAATTTAATGGAGTTTCAAAGTATGGTGGGTTATTCTCTTTAATTGAATAGCTTTTACCAAACTCTTCATATTTATGATACATTTCAAGATTAAACTAATAGTCATTTGTACTTTACTATTTAAAATTCTGAATATTGGCATCTATTGTGATATGAAATAAGAATTCATGCTTGCCTATTAATTCTAAGTTGTTAGCTTTAATCCCAACTTTAAATTAATCTATTCTATCCATAACAAAATATTATGGAAGAGAATCAAATATCTATAATTACTCTACAATAAGCTTTTATTTGAAGCAGTTTCTTTACATTTCTGTTTTATTCGGTGCAATTACTAATTTAGGTATAGTATAATAAATAACATCGCTTGAAAGTTTATGTCTTCAAGAGAAATTGCTTGGCCATACTAAAATTTGATACTCTTACAAGCATGTATTTGATATGTTAAGTATAAAAGAATCTTAAGCCAAAAACCATTTGTTTGCAAGATCTATCGTATCTGAAAACATATACGTGAGTGAGATACTATAGTAACCAATGAATTATATTTCTGATAGTGATTTGAGACTTAAATTAGCAATCATATTGCTCTATGAACTATTTAAGGTGTTATTAAGACCAAGGGAATGAGTATCATTTGCTTTGATTATAAGTATGAATCTCTTTCCTTATGACTAATTTTCTTAGCACATGTGAGAGAAAGTGAAGTTTGAAACATAAAAATTACATTCAACTCCAAGGTAGCAATCGAGATACTAAGATAAAATTAGTGGTGTTCTAGTTTATTTTAATGATAAACTAGAAACATAGTAATCATTAGTCCCAATGTTAGACTATTTTTTCCATAGTATTATCTATGAAAGCAGATTTAGATATGTTGTAATGATATTAGGGATTGTAATTAAATTGATGTCATCAGGTATATTAGTAATATCTACTTTACTATTAATAATTGGAATATTCTCAATTTCAAAGTATTATTAGTTTATCATTGGATTATTTTCATTGAAAAGGTTGAAATAGGTATTTTTTTTAAATTATGAAAAATATGCCCGAAGATTTTATGATTCCTGTAATTTTCCAAGATGAAAAAAGTCATCAAAACTAAAAGCATATTTAAATTGCTTTGGAATAATGTAATTAGAATCTATGAGTTAAATTATGCTTCCATTCAAATCAGTTTCTATATCAAATTACATGCTAAAGGGATCAGAGGTTATCTTGATAATAAAGATGTCCCCTCCGTCACTGATTTATACCTAGTAGACGATCCAAATATCTTACTAACTGGCTATTCTAATTCCTTAGCAAGTAAAATATCTCTTTTGATCCTATGTACCACTTTCAATACTATAAAGAATTTTAGCATCATTAGTATTATATTAATGAATAATCATTCCTAGAAGAATTTCATCTTTCTATTAGCTCTATAGGCAAGCTACCATTAAATTAAAGTTTAATTCAATCTGAGGAATAATGACATTGTAGTTTACTAAAACATTAGCACTAATTATAGGCGTAAAATAATTTCTAATATTGTCATAGCTAGTTAGAAACAGTCCGAAATTATCATTATTTTTTATTTTTATACCTGTCATATAAATTGTGTTTCTTAAGGGAACTTACAAAAGAGCTGTGATAAGAACTCCACTTTATAGCTTATGTTATTAAAGAATTGAAGTGAGATCCTCAGAAATGATGAAGATAATCCCATTTTCATCTTAGTTTGAACAGGCTAAATATATTACTCCACTACTCTAATTTATAGCTAAGATATTGGGCATTAGTAGTGGGAATGTGTATATGCCATTTAATTAAATTTTACTTTTCACTCCACCTTCAAGACTTTACCTAATTAGAACGTAATTACTTCATTAAAGTTTAGCAGTAGCAGTAGTAGCTGTTTTATCTGATCTTATTACACTGATTATATGACTATTCTTTTAAAAACTCATGGCTTCTACTTTAATTAGTGCTGGTGTAATTGTTTCATCTCCATAGTAATATCCAAACAGCCAAATAAATCTATTTATGTCACTTTTGGCTACATACAAACCAATAATAAAGCTATCTCCATAGAAACCTCCAAGCGCAAAGTATTAGAGGGAATCTTCATATGCTATTGCAGTAAATTTTGAAATTGTATTATTCGTATCATCTATTTCAATCGGTAGTTAGTTTTATCCAAAACATTAAGGCAAAGCTTAGATCCTAAAAATTAAATAAACTGAATGTAAATAATTGAAAAATGATGCTCCTGATGCTTTTAAGGGCTTTCATTAACAAGAGACTTACAATATCGTAAAATGTAGAATGATAAACAAGAAAATCAATGAAATACTACTCATCTTCAATTTATTTTATAAATTACATATATAACTAAACACTATAGCTAAATATACAATTAAATTTAGATCATATTATATTTTCAACTCAAACGTTTCAATTGTAAGGTAATGGGGTTTTGGGGTTTTGGGG